TGAAAAATTAGGAGCAGTGCAGGATGCCCTGGACCTGCCGGACCAATATGGAAGCAGAGACACTCATTTATTCTCCACTGACCCCTGCTGTGTATTCTTTGCTCTTCTCAAGTGCTCATATACAAGTGCATAGGGTGTAATAAAATAACTTAATAAAGCATAAAATACGCACAGCGCGTGAACCATTACTTTCACTGTGCTCATGCCATATAAGGATACATTCAATTTGGGAGTTAATTTACATAGTTAAAATACAGTTAAAATACATGTGGGAGTTAATTTGGAAGTTAAAATAGATGTGAGATTTTGCTAAGCAAAATTGTCCCTGGTTGAAAGAACTCCTTGATCTCGCAGACGTGATTGCCTCTCCATTAGTGAGAGGACGAGTTGGACTGGTCAGAATACCTCGGACTGGCTTTTGGGAAGCAAGAATGCGAAGGCGAGAGCGCATTCATCATTCAAGGCCCCATAAAATGTTCCCCGTCCACTTTAAGTGCTGTTTGTTCTTTGACTTCCCTTTGGTACTTTCCTCGAGTCATCCTCTCCCTAATGTTACTGTTGAAAGAATGATGAGAGACCAATCTAGCAGAGTCATGGCTCATGAACGTGAGATCATCGTCACCAGACTTTTCTCGAGATTGCCTCTAATGGAGCCAGGGATTTGGTCAAGCACAGTTCCCCTTTCCTCAAACATCTACATTTATCTTTACTCCTAATACCATACATTCCATTGGAAATGAGCACATTTCCCTGGGGACTCCTTCACAAACTCATCAAGAGTAAGACGAGGGATTGCCACGAACACCCGGCAAGGAATAAGCTAGGACCACCTGTCATTAATGCTAAGTGAAACACGGAGTTTCGAAAACTAGCAACAGTTCTTATTACTAGTTTTAGTGCTCTAAACTTTCATACCAATGGTTTGTTCATGGTCATTGGTCCTTACCTAATCCAACTTCACAGGCACGAGGGGGGGGCATTCACATTCCAAGTTGCAAATTTAAAAGAGTCTGGTTGCTTTTCCTCCTAAATTGCTGCATCGTGCAGGTTCCCCTCTCCGACCATGAACTTGGATGCCTAGTCTGTGACAGCGATTTTGGCTCCGCTGGTCCCAATTGCCTAAAAGTGTAAATATTAACAAATGTGATGCTCACAAATAGAATTCAGGATAAGCAAAAATGCCTGAAAATATAAAAACATGCCCACCGGCTGCACTTACCTGTCTGGATAGATGAGGTAAACATGGATCCATGTCGACGTGACCATGTGAAGGCAGGGCTCAAAATATTAATATAGAAGACCGTTTGAGTTTGTCACGAACTTAAATAAAAATACAGTGAAACCCCTCTTCCCAACCACCCCCTCGAGCAAACCGCCCCTCTAAATGACCGTTTTTTTGTGGAACGGAATTTTCTTTACTTCAAAATGGACCCCCCAAGGGGCGACCACCCCTTGAGAAGGTAATTTTCATATGAAACCATGAGTGGCCGGCTCAAAGGGGTTTCATCGTATAAATCACACTTCACGTGAAAGAGAAAATGAATCACGAAGGATGACGACCTTGAAAGCAAACAGGAAATATTTCGGGGCGCAAGAATCACCGGTAAATACTTGTAACTGTAAGTACCTGAATCACCTTTATAAAATATGAAAACAGTGTGACATGCCCTCCATGAAGAAATGATTCGCACTCGGTGGTAATTCTCCTCAGGATGGTAGTTGGCCGAGTCTAAAAACATCGGATCACTAATTCTTTGACATGACCGTTGGAAAGAATTGCAATGCTGTCCTATCTACTGATATCTTGGGTAGTGAAGGCTTTCTCTGCCCTCAGGATGTCTCGCTATGAGCAGACTCGACAATTTTTGAGGGTGTACCAACATGTGGAGAGGTGTACAGGCTTTTGCTTGTCGCACAGAGTACACTTCCTAACCCACCCATTGTTCGTGTGCGGACAGGTGTGTGGTCGTATGGTGCCATCGAGTATTTCTTTCTCGAAGAGACGATAATATACGCACGGTATTTGACAATGCCCGATGATTCAATGTGGCCAGTTTAGGAACATGATCTCGTGGAAGAGATATCCTGACGGCAAGATGGCGTACCCATACTTTACCGTCCCAATGTGGGCCGATGGTTGGATCCAGAGTTCTCTGACCCTTGTCTTGGTCCCAGAAGGGCAATCGAGTGAACACCGTAGTTCCCCGACCTGACACCAATCGATTATTCCATCTGGATCATTCTGAAGGCAAGTAAATATGTTAGTTGCTTGCTCTTCTCTGTGCAGTACAGACACTGTTAGCATACAATGTTTTATCGTAAAATTCTGTTCTATCAAGTTCTTAAGAAATCAAGTTATTGATCATCATATTTTTTCCAACAACTTACTTTTGTACCACTCTGTATTTTATGTCCGATATATTTATCCAAGGTTAATCATGCCCAGGTTTGTGGCATGGCGATGGTTTTCCGATGCAGGAAAAATAATTGGAGAGATGGAATCATGCCTGGATAGCTTGGGTGGTGAAGACAAGAGGCAACTCCTTTTTTCTTTCTCGTCATAACGGCATATCCGTCCCTCTGAATACTTCATGAAGTGTCAACTCGGCGCGATTGCATGGAGATGGATAGGAATTTAGTCTGGTGGAGATATTCACGACCAGCAGATGGCTCCTCTCAGCAGTTGGACAAAGACATCTAAGTGGGGCAAATGAAAAGTTCTCACTCTTTTACCCATACCAGTTCCCCTGCGGATTTTTCTGGCTGAGATGGCGTAATGTGGCAGCAGCGATGATTTTCAAGAGTGTTCAGGGGCACATGCCATTTCTTGTCAATGTTATTCCATTTTATTTGAGGTCATTTTGGTATAGGCTACCTTATGGAAGATTCAGATCAAAGCAGCTTACGGTGATTGAGTTTTTTTTTATGTAGGAAGGTGAAAATGAAAAAAAAAAACTAACCCAACCGGCAGAGGCTCTGAACACCTGGAATTCAATGCGTAAGATGTGATGGACTCCCGTTTAAGATATCGGTAGCTTCTGAAATATCCTTTAGCCTCAATAGACGATCATATAAGACGAGGCCTTCAGCCAGTTTGAGAATTTGAGGAGTATTGAGAATCTTCCAAATGGGGATCAGAAAGAGAGGTCCTTCCCTCCCACCGCAAAAATTACTTGCTCAAGCTCTGCTGCGTGACAAGACTTCTTCCCCCGTAGACATTTTAAAACCTTTCTAAATGTTCGAGGTTTTCTCACTCTCCCTCATGAAATCTCAATTGCTGCTCACTACTCTGACCTGAGTCTTCCCTTAAAACTCCAAAATGATCTTGAATTTTAGAAGGCACGACATTTACATCAATGAGAAATACGCTCGAACACGCACAAATTATCACCACTACCCCAGTACACCACTTCGACTAGAAAATTGGCTTAGCTCCAAGAGAAACTAATTATTGAGGAAATAGTTCGGGAACTTTTCAATTGCCCCTCGTAGTATAAATGCACGGGGTTCGTATCCCATGCTTACTCTGTTGACTTGATGCAGTACCAACGATTCGGTTTTGAAGATTCGCTTCCTAAGGGTTTATTTGTTGTTTCAATTAAACCAAAAATTCGGGCTTTGGGTGAATAAATGAATAAATGAATGAAGAATCCCCGGGCTTTCTAACTGCTCCGATCTCCGATCTCCGATTGGTTTCAAAGCAGTAGTTCAGTTGTAGTTCCACACTGCAACTGAACGCTGCAGTTCCAACCGTAACTGCAACTAAACTGGAACCAAAATGCAACTGAATCGCCGTTTTGAAGTCGTTCTCACTTTAAGTGACTAGGAACACCTTGCCTATTGAAAAAAAGGAAAAGATATGGTGGGAATTGAGCAAGTGGTAGACGGCATTGAGACACCCTAGCTCGTGAATCTCATCGGAATGCTAATTGGATTGTGAAACCTCAACGGTGGACACCCCCCCCCCCCCTCTGCCAAGCATCAATTGACATAAGTACATTCCCCTCTTCCCTGTCCTCTGCCCTCGCTCAGATACCCGCGAACAGAAGACACTTCTTTCGCGATAAATTTCGACGTCACTACCTCATCCCATCGTTCAACTTCATAGAGGCGAGTCCTCGGATCGGAAATCCCCTGCGACGCAACCACAAATGGAAAAAATGTTCAAAATCGTATGGAAGCATGCTTTTTTTGCAAATCTATTTTGCACCAATTTACTCATACTGGTCAAATCAAATTTTACTTCCATGAGTGATTCTCGTGACAAATGGGGAGAGGGGCACATGATCCCTGTCCACCTTCCTTTCTTCTTTAGCTCGTAACACTAATGTGTGTCGGTGTTAGGTTCAGGTGTCTGTTTACTCTTTAGGGGTACAGGTACAGTGCTGTGATGGTTGCAGATATGTCGAGCTATCGTATAGTTTCATGGAAAAGTGGAGGCATATGATTTCAATTACTCCGAAGTTCCCACAAAACCGAATACTAGTTCAGTGGAATGACAATCATGAAGTAAGCGGTCCCTTTACGCGCCATGTGGTGCATTTCATTCATCTCTGCCTTCGAGTCTTGACATGGCGATTCTTTCCTCATTCTCTGTCATAAGACGTCTTGGGTTGTTGTCAGAATCGGCTGGGACACATCCATCCCCCGTCTTATCGGGAAGAACATGGCGAAACGCCTAGGTCAAGGCATTCAATGTGCCTCTTGTGCAAGCATAACATTTTTCTTTATCCGAAACATACGTTTGAATCGAACGTTTCAGCCTGTTATTCTGAGGCCTAGGGACACACTGTCACACCGAGTCGGTTAGATCAGCTTTTATGAAAGGCCACCCGATGAGAATGTTGAAGCAATCGGAGAAATCTAAATGAAACGGAAAGAGAAAGGAAAGTGTAGGAAGTGGCTCGGGGCGATGGATGCGCCACATTGGTCACTCTCCTCATGAGCCTATCATGCAGGACAGGAGCGAACGAAGGGCAAGGCTAGGGCAGTCCGAGCCATCCTCTGCCTGCATCGCATGTCTTCCCTTCTTACCGCTCTCTCTTTGCTTTCCCTTGGAGCTTATTGTTTGATGAGAGGCAATCGAGTGTGTCATTTCATCTCTCCGCACATGATCCTAGTCACCTCTTCGTGATTTTGCACATTTCTTGCTGCATTCCATGAATGTGCGTGTTCGATGCATGCTAGGGTGTTCACATGTAGGAGTGAATACAGGACGGGGAAGCTCCTCCATTGTCATCGTGGGACCGTGGTGCCACACCCACACGTCAATGCATACTCGTTCCGTTGCAGTGATTCTGCGGTGTGAGTATTAGTGGAGCACGTTCGCAGGTACAAACGCCCAATGTTTGAGTGACTCTCTATAGAGGTTTTCCGTCTCGAACCCGCTTACCATAATCTTGAGTAGATGTGCATCTACGCTTTAGCTTTCTGCCCCTGTGATGCGTAGGCACATCCCTGTATCACATCGATACCAGACATACTCCATCTACCACCTGTGATGTCTACTCCACCGAGCAATCTTCAACAAACTGTGAGTCTTTTGTCTTATACAGGAGAGAAAAAATTATTATGAAATTCACTCAATTTATTATTACTTTCCCTTGCTGCCCATTCTCAAATAAGCCGAAAGGTTTCCAGTGCTAAATACTGCTCAGTATTTTGGCTTTCATATGATACGTAACTCGTAAGCATATTTATAGTTTTTACTAGTGATTTTCTTTCTTGACTTTTTTTTCAGGAAATCTTTAAGAAATTCCAGTATTGTATGTTATTAGATGATATAATTTTCATTATTCTTTGTGTCCTTTGTGATGCGTCTCGGATTTTTCGTCATAATCACTAAAAAATGGATTCGAACGGGAGAATGGTGAAAATGCACTTGCAAGACTCAGCAGCAGTCGCATGTACAATAGAGGAACGAAATGTTGAAGTAAGCATTAGAAAGTAGAATGCATTTTAATTTCCAATGAGATTGTTTCCTTCGAGATCCGATGCTTCACACTCCTGTTCTTAATTAATGGCCTAGAATGACGACTGACTGGCTGTCCACACCGGCAGCACCAGATTTGTGCCGCATAATTATTCGTTTCCTTCCTCCTTTCACGTATGGGAAAGGGAGAAAGTAATTCTTGTGCCGTGCGATGTAGAGGACAGTGTTCTCCAAGCGATTCCTAACGTTGTGAATACATGCATATAGGACATAATGCAGGAGCAAGTCAGAGAAGAGAGTGGAGGAAGGAAGACCGGCTGGTCGGCCAGACTGCGGCGTTACCGAGTACTTCTGTTGGGAGTGACGGCCTTGGTGATCATAGGTATCACTGCTGTCCTCTTCGTCGTATCTACAAGGACTGGTAAAACTGAACCAAGGAATAGGAGCCTGTCTCAAAAGCTTCAACAACTCGAGTTTGACGACTTTCTCCAGAATAAATTTGGCGCACCTCCGTTTTCCGCCAATGGTACCTGGCTTTCAGGTGAGGAAGATCTTTCTTTCACTTTGAAAGAAGCGTATAGCGATCGATTCCAAAGCGTAATATGATGCTGCCCATGATAAATAACAATTCTGTTTCTTCTTTGTAGACGTGGAACTATTGTTCGTGAATGAAAAACACGACCTGGCGATATTTAATTTCAAATCGAATACGGAAACGCTTTTGGTTCCTTCAGGCGTCCTCGTTCGTAATTTTTTCCCACATTGGTTTTGTGTGGCTTTTAGGATCAATAACGTGGTCTGTCTTTGCATCGTCAATTCCAGAGCGAATTGAAAGTGCCGGGCCAGGCATTCGTGTGGGTTTCTCCATCGCAGAACTTCGTTCTAATGGCATCGGATGTTCAAAAGGTTTTTGTTTTCTGTTCTGTGTTCTCCCTACACCTGTCACTCAGAATCCTTGTCGATCATACTTTGCCCTTGATATTACAGAGATTCCGGCATTCATTCGCTGCTCGATACTATATTTACGACATCCATGAAAAGTGAGTCAATTTTGGAAGCAATGATGTCTACTCAATGACTTGAATGGGTGAGCTTTACTTGAACTCTTGATGAAAGGGAGGTGATAAACGTGACATTGCGTTCACCGTTGACGAGAATTTGGATGCCGTACCCGCCAAATCTACCTTTCTATTTCTTCCTGGCCAAATGGGCTCCAACCGAAGACCGTCTTATATTGGTCTTCCAAAACGATATCTATTACTTGCCTGATCCAAGGGGTAATCGGGAATTTCAAATCACTGCTGATGGAAGACCGGATATCTTCTTCAACGGCATCGCAGACTGGGTCTACGAAGGTACTGGATTCGGTTTTTTCCTTTTTTTTGTCTCTCTCCCCCTCCCCCTCGTCGCATAGAACGTAGATCGAGTAAAGACTTTAATAGGGGCCTTTCTATTCAGAGGAAGTTCTCGGTGACTCGAGTGCGGTGAAGTGGTCAAAAGACAGCAAGAAGTTGGCCTTCATTTCCTTCAATGACACAAACGTCCCTCTCATGGAATACCCCATTTATCGACCTTACAGTGTTCATAACCAGTATCCTATCATTTTCAAGCTTCATTATCCAAAGGTAATTATAAAAAAAACTTTCTCCTGGGTGTGTGGACTGGACAATGTTTCCCATCATGGTTCGTGTCATTCATTAGGCAGGGACAGAGAATCCCGACGTGAAAGTTTGGGTAGTTGACCTGGAAGCGTTGGAATCGAATCCGCCTGCAGCTTTCAAGTTTCCCATCCTTCCTCCTCCCGTTTTCCAGGATCAGTGAGTCGAATACAGAATGTCCCCAACCCTGGGATAACTTCGCGTTCGTTATCAGGAACCCTCCTCTCGCGTAGGGAGCATTACGTGACAGGGATGTCTTGGTCAGGAGATTCTCATTTGGCCGTCAATTGGCTGAATCGACATCAAAATCATAGCGTTACAAGTCTGTGCTCCGAGACCAAGGACGGCACCCGAAATTGGTACTCCTGCCGCGTCGTGAGTGGTTTCTTTTTTTTCTGGAATTGACTCGGAATTTGTCCCGAATGCAACCATTTGACTGGAATTCGATGTCCAGGACCTTGACTTGAACAATACGGAAGGATGGTTCGAGATCCCAACGCCCAAATTCTCTTCCTCCCCCATATCTTCAGATTACCTCATCATACTTCCCCATGAAGGCTGGAAGAAGCTCTTTAAGGTCTCTTTTTCTTCACTTTCTCAACCTCTCACCCCGACAGGATTCGAGGTCACTGAGGTCTACAAGTGGGATTTGGAGAAGGATCGCATGTGAGTCACATCTCATCAAAGCTCAATCTCTCCGAATTGCCCCAGTCTTCCACAATAAATTAGATGCGATTTTTCTGACTTATTTGTGCTGGGGTGTGGTTTCAGATTCATCCAAGGCGTATATAGGAATGCGTCGTCGAAAAGAGGCGTATTTCAGATAGAAGTGGGGAAAATGACCTGCTTGTCGTGCGCCTCATCCCCTGGCGAAGACTGTTCCTATGCTTCGGCCTTCTTCAGTCGGAATGCCTCCTATTATGCACTTCAGTGTGCGACTCCGACGACCGTAGCTAATCAGGTGACCATTAAGGAGACAGAAAGCGGTGAGGCGGTGAGGGAATGGCTTTCCAATGATCAACTCGTGAAAGAACTAAATACGAAGGCCCTCCCTGTTGAGAAAAACTTGGAAGTTGAAGTGGCTTCAGGGTTCACGGCTCAAGTTCGCCTATTTCTCCCTCCTGATCTCGACGAAGCTGGTTCTACCAAATATCCCATGATCGTTTATACGTAACAGAACATCTCTCTTGATTCTTCCGATTCGGGGTTTCTTCTCCACATTGGTAGGAGAAATACTTCCTTCTTTCTTGCTCTGATGCAGGTATGGAGGTCCCAATTCCAAGCAGATCACGGACGGATGGAGAGGGGTGGATTGGGGAACTTACCTCTCGGGGACACAGGGGATCATACATGCCATGATCGATGGAAGAGGATCCGGATACCGTGGTGAACAACTCCTCTATCAACTCTATCGTCGCCTCGGCTCTGTCGAAGTGGAGGATCAGATCAATGTTACCAGGTCTTTCATCACAACGCCTTCGTGTATTTAGGAGCCGCCCGTCGAAATGCAGTCTCGTAATTTTTTTCTTTCTTGCTTTCTTTCTTCCAACAGGACCTTGGTTCGAGATCTGAGATACATTGACGGGTCTCGAGTGGGAATCTGGGGTTGGAGTTATGGCGGCTTCACGGCTGCCATGGCTTTGGCCACTGATACCGAACATTCCTTCAAGTGCGCCATTTCTGTAGCTCCTGTCACCTCTTGGCTCTATTATGGTATTCAGCTCTTCTCATTCTCTACTGTTTATCGTTATCGTTATCGCAGTGGATTTAAACTTGGCTTAAAGATTTAAACAATTAAGTAAAAGAAACATCGTACAAGTAAAAACTTATTGTTTTTACTTGTACGGTGCAAAACTTTTTTATATTGACGATGCTAAAATACAAACTATATTGTTACAAGACTACAGCTCGTGCTTTTGGGTGAGCCACAAAGGTGCTGGCAGGGAAATGAGGAAATCCGAACAATCCTTCAAGGACATCGAGCAAGATTTCAAATACAGTCGACTCCGCATAAAGGAATACCGCTTATTGGAATACCATTGCACAGTCCCGATTTACGTAACGATACAGCAGATAGTTTCGGTTATTGGAATACTCCGAATTATATTCAATAGAATAAAATTCGCTGGTTCCGTGAGTATTCCAACATGCGGAGTCGACTGTATATCTGTAATGGGTCAAAAGCGCATGTAGATTCGAAGAGTTCTACATTTGATACACAGTGAACGGGTGGCTTTCGTAGGTGTTTCCAACAAAGGAATAAATATCTGCTTCTGCGTCATTATAACCAATCAGCCATGAGAAGACGTTATTGCGCTGCGAGCAATGCATTAAGCTCTCCATCGTAGGGAGGAAGTGGAAATGAAGCACACAATTCTGTTTCAATTCTTGTTAGTTTGCTTGAGGCCGAGGGGATAGCCCATGCAGCTGCACCTTTGTGTCTACCCCCTAGGTGACATGCTTTCCAATGCGTGACCCCCGTGTTTATTTAGACCCAATGGGGAGAAATCAACGATCTAGGCTTATGGGAAATGCTTTATCGTGGAACTGTTATTGCACCGTGAAAGTGATATTTAAAAAAATATATATTTATTCTACATAAAACTCCAATCTCTTGAGCTTCGACGTTGTTGACAGATTCCATATACACCGAGAGATATATGGGGCTGCCGACTCCCGAGGACAACCTGGCAGCCTACGAATCTGGGACCATGCTCACTCCTAGCAAACTGGAGAATTTTCGAAACAAGTCCTTCTACTTGATTCATGGGAATGCAGACGACAACGTCCATTATCAGCAGTCGATGTTGTTGTCAAAGGAGCTTGAGCTGAGAGACATTCTTTTCAGGCAGCAGGTAAGAAAGGGGGAGGGGGATTAACCGGCCCTTGGCGGCGACGCGAACAGTAGAGACTATCCAAGTCGTGGTTGTAGGTCTAGCCTGAATTCTCACTTGCAGCCCTCGAAGGAAATCAGGAAGACCGTATGAATGAGGATTTATGTCGCTGTACCCAGCGCAAGGTTCAAGCATTCAAATTGAGAGGTGTGAAGATGGGCTTGAGCCAGTATTAACACCCAGAGTCGAGGCCGAGCCTCATCCCCAGTCCAACATGGCTCAATCACTCAATGATAAATATTTTTCTTGGGAGTGTGTCAATCTACCGCCTAGCTACTTACAGTTATATTGCTGTTCTTGTTTGCACATGAGGCACCTCATCTCCTCTTAACCCTCTGTACCGAATATCGAAGTTTCCTGGTTATTTTTTTTTCCCTTTGAATTCCTTCGGTTCGGCCACTGCTTTCTGTATCAACGGAAGATGGCAGCATTGTTGAGAAATCGAAGTGTGGGGTGTGTTGCAGCTCTACAACATTGGGTGAAGGCAAAAATACGAGTAAAGCCTCCATGTAGCGTGATAAGGACGTTCCACGTTGTTGCAGATCCGCTGCTCTGGTAAATATATGGTTTGAGCTATCCCAGGAAGCAAATACTAGTACATCTTCACCCAAGGTATTCCATGCATTTGCTACTCGACTAGTAAAAATGTATGCGAAAAATGAAAAATTCCTGTATCCGTTACTGTCGCCATATTTTCTATATGGCGAGATATGCTATATGTCTAAATATGCTATAATTATCAGTTTCTCCTTATCCATCACATTCGTTACCCAATCGAATAATTCTAGCCAAATAGCATGACTGGAATGCCACCTCCTGAAGCCGTGCCAAGAACCCCGATTGAGAGAGTTCCTCATAGAAAATCAAAATTATTCCACTTCTCAAAGATTAGTACTACATCCGCTGATTTCCAGTTTTTAAGAGGCTTCATCACGCAAAATAAAATCCTTGGAAATTATCTTTAACAGCACCGCTTTATCGAAATTTCTATGAGAATACGAGTGGAATCCCATGAGGATCGGTTGCTTTCCCAACTTTGAGATTCCCTATCCTATTTATAATCTACTCCTGGTTAAAAATGATGTAATCTAGAACGCTTCGGTGTACGTAGGCATCGCAAATGCCTCATCGATTCGCTCGTAAAAATGGAAACAAATACTGCTAGCGTGCCTGCTACAGCTTGCATGTTGACTTTTAAAAAGCTTTAGGTTCATTCTTTGCACTAATAGCTAACTGTTCTGTGACCTCCTGTTTGGACGAGCCAATTTCCCTTTTCAATGGCCTAGAAGCTATTTAATATTCTATATTCCTCACATTCCAAAGATGCTCGTGCGCTCATGCGAAACCCATTTCTTTCCCAAATTTACCCCCATCAATCAAGAATACCTGCGCATTCAGATTATTGCAGATCATTGCAGGTATACGTATTCGCTGCTGTCGGTAATTTTCATTAGGATATGCGCCGTATACCTGCCTATGCTCTCCATTACAGCACTATTGATCTCCGACCTGCTAAGGTTGCAAATATTTAAATGGCTTCTTCACCTGCCCTGACTTCCTCCTTCGAGAAATGGACATTATCCCTAGTAATTGGAAGGGCGCATCACCTCAAAACCTCACAAGTACCCAAAGCCCTTCTCCGGAATAGATCTCCCGCAATGACCCTTCTGAATTAGATCACGTCTCCATTTCCTCATTCATTCGAGTTGCAGTTGTGCACACTCTCAACCTCACCTCTGACTTCGCTTAACGACCAGCCCTAATGGTCATCCTGAGTCGGGAGGTGATGGTTTCTGAGCAATATTTTGAGTTATCATCGGTCTTGACATTGAGGACCCCTGACAACTCGTCCGACATAGAGGATGCTGACCCCCAGTTGTGGGGGGAGGGGGGAATCTCATACCCAATGTGCCCTACTTGAGCACCTTCTAAACAGGCAGGAAAAAACGGACTCCCGACCCCTCCTGTTATAAACAAAAGGGAGAACCCTCCTACAACCAGTAATTAAGACTCTAAATAATGATGAAACCAGTAATCAATCTTTGAGCTAAATAGCCAAACCCCGTTTCACTGAGAAAGAATAATCACATCTAAGAACTCATGAATTTATCATTCACTTCAAAAGTAACTGCCTAGCAAGTCCGCACCGCGTGACCGCTTGTCCACGATCTGGATCGGCAATCAGCGAGATCAACTCCATTAGAATTTCACAGGCCAGATGGGTTACGGACAGTAGAAAGAAATGTCACATGGATCGTGCACCGACAGATGGCCAGTCGACTGCTGAGCACATTCATCCTGATCCTGGCACATCCCACGGTGCGAGATACAGGAAGTACTGCAACATCTAGAAGTGACGGAATTCTGTTGCGATGGAAAGGAGTTTCCCTGGTCATCTCGTCTTCTCTTATTTTTATTTCTTGTTTGTTACTGTTATCCTGTCTCGTCCCCTCTTCCACTCAATATACCTTGTATGAGGTCTGATTCGAGATTTGGATTTTCTTCACAGAGTTACCCAGACGAAAACCATGGTCTTGGTGGAGTCCGCCCCCACGTCTATCACTCCATGCTGGAATTCTGGAAAGAGTGCTTCAACCTCGCCTGATCAACATGTCCCTGATCCCTGTCGAAATAAAGTCAATTCAGATAGCTAGACCCCAAGGGTGTCGTTTCCTTTCAACCTCGGACAAGTTCGCATTTGGACGCAATAAGCTGTGCACTCTCTGCAGCATGCAGGCAAAAATGTTGCTGCTTTTCCATGTTATCTGACGACTTTCCAGAAATAAGCAATGCAGGTCACTAATTTACATTTGCTTAAAAAAATTGTTACAAGATTACCTCTATCTTTCTCCTCGCGAACTTCGTTGCATTCGTCGCTAAAGGGCACCACAGGATATGTCCTTTCCCCTTTACTTTGTTCCAGTTTGCACATGCACAAGCTCAGCTTTTCTGCAGTTTTCTACTCCATAAGTGCATTCTCGAGTGAAATGCTCTTCATACTTTTTTTTTACTTCGCCTGAACTACTCTTGATGAATGAAGATCGAATAAAGCAACAAGGGGAATGGATTTATTTCCCAAGATTCGAGTTTTAGAAGAAATGTACTGTATAATGATGCAGTACTTGCAATCACTGCAACAATTGAATTGAAAAGAAAGGTAGAATGTAGATAACCTCAAACAAACGGGAGGTATCAACAAGGAGGGAATGATACTCGTCGCAAGGGGATCAGGGAGGCCCACTAGAACAATATGGCCAATAAGCGTTCTTGGAATGTCAATCTGATCGACAGGGATAGAACGAGTGTTAACTTGGGAAGTCCCAAGATCTCATCTTTTCAGGGGTAGAACGAATGATAGCGTGAGAAGTCCCAATATCTCATCTCTTTTCCTCCAAATGGAGCGGGGACTCCTGCTGATAGCTGGTCACGGAACCCGTGGGGAATTCCCAAAAGCAATCGTCGAGAAAGGCTTCCATGCTCTGATGAACGTGACTGATGACACCTTCCAAGTTGTGATTCTCATCCGGGTACACCTGAAGAAAAATTATGAATCTTATGAATTTTCGGATGGGTAAATCCCGATGGGAATTTCCACAGGTGTGTACTGCATGAAAGCCTCTGCATGAAGGTCACTGGGTCATGAGGTCGAAAATAGGATGAAAGAGCTCGGGTGAACCATGCTTCATTCACTGCTGAAGGTTGTAAGCTGGCTGTAAGGTTTTGGATTTAATATGCATTTGTTCATCCTTTGCTATTATGACCTGAAGCATGTGACAGACACACATCACAGCCTTTCTTCCTTATTTCCTTGTATGATCTTAGTGTCTGATACTGCCTTCGAATTGGGGAAACCTTGTTCAAAAAAGTGAAAAGCGGACGAATATTTGTTTATAGGCAGTTTTTGTTAATCCCGTCAAAATTAAGGTAGCAGGATCACTTTAGGGCTACTTTTGACACCAATGAAGATCGGAGTGAGAGCAATACATTATTGGAAAGGGTAGGGAACGACTTCCCTTTCGATAATATAATTAGCAAAAATTATGCTAATGAGGTACCAATATGGCCGATGTAGCACCCAAATCCAAGCCATCTTTGAGCCATCGTGGTTTCAGATTTTCAAAGAATTATATATCCAAAGAATACATATACAAAATACATATATATAAAGAATTCTCAGCTGACTGAGCAAATTTTCACAATTTTCCTCCTTAATATACCTATATAGGCAAAACAGCGAAAATTCAGAGTATTTGGGAAACTGTTCAAAAACTCCACGACCATTCCCTGAGGAGGCATTTGAAGTATCTTAGGCAACAAAATTACTCATGAAGGTATGAAATCAACGAAGTTAAAAGATGAAAAGCCATGATGAAAATCTCTTCTAATATAATATTGAGTCTTTTGGAAGAGACTAGATATTGAAGACTTACTAGTTGCCTGAAGAGGACTCCATTGGAGATGAGAGCATTGACAAGAGCGAGACTATGTTGCCAGTGAACATTGTCATCTCCGGTGCCATGAATGAGGTATAATGCCTTCCCTTGCAATCGGCCCGCTGCTTTCGTCACGTCGCTCTCTTTGTAGCCCATGTAATTGTCTGACATATTCGGGAACCCCATGTATCTTTCGGAAAACACGGAATCTGGGAACCAGACATCATCAATCCATTGAGACTTGGGAAGGAGGGAGATGAAAAAGTAACAAGAATCCTCACCATAGAAAAGCCAGTTGGTGATGGGAGCAACAGCGATGCCGCACTTGAAAATCCCGGAAGTATCCATCGTCAGAGCCCTAAGGGTCACATATCCCCCATAACTCCAACCCCATAGAGCCACATTACTACCATCCAAGAATGAGTATTTTGCCAGCAACAATCTGTCAAGCGATGAATGAAAGAACAGCAGAGACCACAATCAATTGGTCGTCCTTTATGGAAGAGAAATACGCTAAATAAAAGAAAATGTGGGACAGACTTGATGACAGAGATCTGATCTTCGACTTCCACAGTCCCCAGCCTGTAATAAACTTCTTGTTCCATTTTATCACCCTGATAACCAGACCCCCTGCCGTCGATCCAGGCGTAGACGTATTCTCGACTAGAGGCCAGATAGGTCCCCCAGTGCACTTTCCACTGCTCCGATACCAGCTGTGTGCCTGGTCCACCATACCTGCAGGAATGGTATCATCCCGTCGTGACTGAGGAAAATTAAAGCAAACTACGAGGGAATGTTGTTCTAGTTCTTGTAGAGACTCACACTTGCAGAACGAGTGGATATTGGAAGCCAGCCTCAGGATCCAAGTGATTAGGAAGGAAGAGTCGTACCCTAGCCTCGTATCCTCCTGCTAAAGGGAAGGTTTCTGTGATTTCTGACGGCATGGCCAAGAGTTCCACTCGTTCACTCAAGACCGAATCATTATGGAGAGGCAGGAGCAGTTCCCCGGTGGCTGTGGAGTGCAAATCTACGTACGGGATCCCAGGCCCCATGCATTCGATGACAAAATAATGGAAGGGATTCGGGCTGAAATACGCGTTGTTGAACAGGCAACGAGAGGACTCATTCCTGATACAGGTAAGGCACTTTGGCGTTCTCGGATTCGTGGAATCACTCTTCACCCGGTACAGATGTCGTTGTCCGGGCTCGTTTTCCGGAGTTGCCACATAGTAACTGAAATGAGAATGTTCGTGAAGAGAAAAAGCCACTTTTTCCTCTCTCTGGACCTAATGGAGACTTACATGTCTTGGTTCGCCTCATCCCAAGCAGCGATTCCCGTAACCTCGAAGCGTCCATGTGTGAGGACATGAACTCTTCTCGTCTCTAGGTTGGTTATGGTGAGTTGTTTGAAATATCCCGCATCCCCATCTTGCACGGGGGAGATCAAGAGATACTTCTGAGCATCAGCAGAGAAGACGGGAGGTAAATATACATCCACCCAGCCCCTTTCTGGGCTCTTTTGCCGTTGAACCTACAGAAATTAAAGGAAGACAGAAAAAGTAAGTTGTTTGTGTCCAAGAGGAGAGAGACAAAGAAAGGACAGAGAGACTCACCTGGACGCATCTCCAAAATGGATGTTGGCAAACGCTAATGCTGGCCGAGTGTTGAGCACGGTGCATCCACACAACACACACCTGCTTGCTGTCAATCCAGGTCACTCCAGTGAAGTAACTCTCACTAATGAGAATTGAATAAGACCGAAACCCTGATATACAAAAACGAGTCATAGTTGCACATAATAAAGCAAGAAAACGAGACTGTGGATGTAAGAATCGCCAGTGAAACGGTTTAAAATACAAAGCAAATTTCAATGCAGATAATCTTTGCGTACATTGGTCACTCTTATGCCTAGAAGTCTCGTTTTCTTGCATTTAGGGGTATGTTATTACACGCTTCTTCCTCTGTTTTTTTACTCTGAGTTTTAGCCATTGAGTTATTTTCTTTATCGAACCGACAGCTTGCCTTAGCAATACTATCATAACATATGATTATTTATTAGTGCCTCTTGGACAAGTCCTAGTTTTCCTTGCTTCTTTGAACAGGTTCAATACTCATAGGAAGTACGTGGATGAATGCCAGAACGCGTGAGACCTCATACTGTTGCGGCGAGACAATCTTTTCGACCCTCCTTTGCCAAAATCTATTATCTGTATAGCCTAGTCTTTGAATCAAGGGGCAATCTATATTTTTAGTTTAACTACTTCTTAGTGCTTCATGTACTATGCCAGTACTTGAGTATTACCCTTCTTCATTTCTTGAAGTCGGTCTAGAATTTTATAAGCAATTTTTACAATACTCTTTGATAAGAACTTCTATTACCTTCAGATTCTATATGCCCTCAAAGCTCATCCCCAGAGCGATACGAAGTTTTCATTTTTTTTAAGTTGAGAGTAGCATTCAGAAAAGTACTTGCTCATTAAGTAGTCCTTGGTCTAGGTCAAACTATAACGTATTTTCGGTTGCCCAAATAATTTCCCCAAACGCATATTCCCACATCTCCGGAAGCATTGAACCAGAACTGCGACAACGTCGTGGATTTTGAGGCCTTGGCAAAAGTAGACAGTATTGTATGCTGAATTTGAGATTCAATGAGTAAACAAGGAAGTTATTTATGGATATAGGTAAATCTGAATCATTATTCCGATTGTAAGGCACTATCACGCCGTGTCTAGTAAGAGGAATCACATTCTAAGCTGCTTATATCCTCAAAAATTCAAAATCAACTACTAACGTTCCATGTATTTCCGTAGGAGGAATGAGTTGAACTTGGCTGAGGTCTTCCAAATCTACAACTGTCAGGGAAACGTCAGGATTTGGCCTCCCTGGCTGGAATATAGAAGAGAAGAGAGTAGAGACCAAATGGAGAAACGTAAATACTCTTTTACAAGATGACCAGACAGGGAGAAAGGAAGAACCTTTGGATATCGAATGACGCGATTGGAACATGGTCCATCCATACAGGGTTCTCCATCGTCTTGCAAGTAAATGGGGATCTGGAGTTCTTCGACTTGGCTGTCATTGAAAGTGGCGTAAATGAGCCTCTGACCGTCCTTGCTGAACCACATCGCTTGCTCGTCACCTAAGATCTCCTCTGCCGCAAAAAATATTTGTATAGCGGTTAAAATAAATATGTACCCAAGAACTCATGATAATAATGTGTTGTGCGGAAAGGTTCCTGCCGTTGAGAGTAAGACTTAGCTTTGACTTAGCTTTGCCGCTTTGATGAGATTTGATTCAAGATGAGAGGATTCGCTTAAATATTGCACAACCACTATAGTCTCCATTAGCCTCCACTTTCCAAAGTGCTATACTGAAGGAAATGCAGCAGTGGTGGTACAGTTCGTTGCTAGCCTGTTATCCCACGTCAATGAGACTGCCTTCCTCCAGGATATTCTTCCCGAAAAATGATATGAAAAATATCCTGCCTACCAAGGAAACTGAGCCCCACTGAGAGTTTCGGTACTTGCCTCTTCACAAATATGCAATTGAGTTTATCAGCTAGCTCGTTCGAGAGGATTTTCCACTCTAAAAATATCGCAGAAATGCAGTAAATCAATTATGGTGATCAATCTTACATATCGGTAAAAGGGACTTTAGAATCGTATTTGTTTTGGTTATTTTGTTAGAATGTCCTTGTCGACGTCCCTTGACGACGTACAAAATCGATATAATATCTATTTTGCACTGTTGTAACGGGAGCTCGCCAGAGTATCAAGTTATCCATTGCATTACCGCAGCGTTCACCATGGATTCAGCAGTCGACGTTGAACTTAGTAATTTCCACTTTGACTAGAGTTCCTCTTATGAAAATATCAAAATCTGAAGGGACCAGCCACGTTCAGTGGTGCAATGAATTCAGGGGCAGATCAATGAATGCAATTAGTTTCCTCCTAAATGAGACAAACATTTGATGCGTTTCTTCCATTTCTGGGGGATTCCGGACAACATGCTAATCAAATCAGGCCACAAACGCAGGAAGTACCATTCATTTCATTTTCGCGCTTTTGCACGGACGTTATCATGAGATATGAAATAATGCAATATCGCAAATCTCTTGTACTGAAGCATGGGTACTGGGAGAGAAATTTCTCGAAAAGAAGTAGTATTCCTTTCCATGAAAAAAACTCCCCTCTCCCTGGGTACTTCCGAGGTGATATGGTCCGTACTTTTCCCTTTTATCGCTCTCATGCCGTACCGCAATGACTGCAAATTGCATATCAATCGAAAGTCATCTTCATTTTGCTTTCAAATGATATGCAATTTTCCGTTATTACTAAATAGTTGATGAGCAAGCAGGAGGAAATAGTTAACATATCAGCTCAAGCAGGCACAAGGAGAGAGTGTTTTCCTCAAAATAATTTTTTTTTGTCAAACACGAAATCCTATTTTAATGTCAACATCTGTGGAAAATAATTGTTTACGATCTTTCGAGAGTGTGCTTACCCTCATAGATCCAATCTGGAACTCCATGATAGACGACACCCGTTACGCCAGTGGTGGTGAGTTTGAGAGGTTGATTGGTAATAGCACGAAGGGAGAGGTATATGTTGTTCTCGTATACGAATGCCAACGTATTCTCCGTTGGACCCCAGAGGACGAACTGTAGCTTCGGGTGGAGATCCCCCGTTTTCTCTGGGCTCACCGTCACTGGGTGTAAATTCCTGCAGGCCACATAGGAGACGAAACCTTAATAACAAATTGACACTACTCAATACAGAGAGTTAACGAAACTACCACCTACCCGGTATTATTGTCGTAGAGCACATACTTGGCTACGATTGAATATCTGTAAACCTGTGATAAGGAGACGAATGGAAAACAAAAGTCGCCACATCCGGTTGCAAGTAGAATCCGAAAGACAGGGGCAAAAAATTTGCGATTACTATACCTTCTCAGCGTCATAAGCAAGAAGGACATATTGTCTGTCTTTGGAAACTGAAAATCTCCGAGCATTCACCTCTCGCTGTAAAATGAAACAAGAGAAATATCAATCCAAAACAGGAGATGCAAACAGTCCATCGAAAACTTCTTCGGGGAAGAAGCGTGCAAAAATTAGTTTTCACTATTTCAGAGAATATTGAAAGAATGCATACGTATACTCGTCCTGGCATGACATATTGCTTGGAGAATTTTGGTACTTCGAGGATGAAAACCCCTCCGTCTTCATCCCTGAATACCAGCTCTCCCGCTGTGAAGAATTCCAGAACAATGATTTTCACTTTCATAACCAGATTCCACTCATAGGTTCGTGTAAGAGACCGTATAGGATTTTATCTAACCGGAAAGCCAGGTGCCATTAAACCGAGAAGGTGTGAGCTCTTCTCCAAGGATGTCCTGGAGGGTGAGGCGTCGACCTCCCAATGAAGAGCCTTCATGGTCTGGACTGATCAAAATCACCGAGATCACAATGAATCCAAATACAAACAGGATGACCAGCACCGCAATGAGGATCCCTCGCCAATTCCTCTGGCTCGGACTCGATACAACCAAATCCTGCGAAAAAAAGAGAGAAAGGTCACAAAGGTTAGATCACATTTGTTAGTCTCTTGTTTTATCAACTGAGTCGAATGCCAGTCGACAGGGTTTCATGGAATGATACGAAGAGAGAGACCTAAGAGGGCCTAATCATGGTTTAGTCGATATTGGGAATCCAATCTCGAGTGACCGACTCCCTATTTTTAGGTCGCTGAGGATCCCTCACATCTCTGATGTCCCATTACATTAGAGGCGAAACGTAACATCTTTTTCATAGTCATTATTAGAGGCTAAGGTAAAGGCAAGATTGCTGGAGGGCACAAGGAAGGAAAATTTGCAGAGAAAGAAAAAAACATAACTGACCTCGTCAAAGCTGGGCAAGGGTTGATGAATTATTTTGCCCTTAGAGGCCTGCACAGGAGGCTGAGGCCTGGATGTTTCCTCGTAAGCTGTCATGGCATGCTCACGCGAAGGAAATTTTAATTGCAAACTCAGACACTGTCTTCCATGACGTGGGTGGGAAGAGGCACGGGAAAGGAGGAAAGAGAGAGAATGCTGCAGGGATGGTGGATCTGCGCAAACGCTCTGCCTATCCTCACAATCCCCCCTCCTTCTAACTCTCCCTCTCCTCCTCCTCCTCCTCCTCCTTCTTTTCACGAGCCCTCATCCTATGAGAAGCTGGATGGACGATCGACCAGTTTATTCCAGCCTCTCCAGGTTCCGTATATGACTACAAGACTCTAGGATCCTTATAATCCTCACCCCAGACTTATCTTCGCAGCGAACTATCAATCTGTTCAATACCGGTGCGTGATCGTATGGTCAATACACAAACCGACTGATTCTGTTGAAGGCAAGGAGTTCACTGTATTCCAAGGACGCCCTTTCTTGAGTAAATATGCCAAATGTCTCAATGGGGACTATTGAGAAGCCCAACAACCTGAGTTAGCGCTCTCTTTGATCAGAGCCGGTTCTAGCTATTTCGGCGCCCTGTGCAAAGAGACTCCCAACGCCCCCCCCCCCCCCCCCAAAATGGATAAGGGTCAATCTCAAGCACCCAAATTTATGGCGAAACAGAAGGAATTTTCACTTTCTGAAATAAAACTGAGGGTGGCATCCATTATTACTTCGTATAATCAGTCACATTTTGGCGTCCCTGGTGAATTTGCGAACTGCGCGGGGAAACATGTGGCACATACCGAAGTCTGGCCCTGTTTTTGATACGCCAAGGTAACTTAAGAGAAAGCGCGATTGGAGGAAAAGTGAAATAAAAAATGCGGTCAAAAGCAACGTCAAAATAACCTCAAAAGCATGGAATGACTTCGAAAACGCAAGAAAATCCAGCAAGATAGAGAAAGATGAGAGAGAAAAATGAGTCTGGAGGACCAGAAACTAGGAATTAATACAGTATCATTATGTTGAGGACAACTATCATGAACGGTGGGGCTGAGATAGGGAGGGAGGATGGTGTGTGTTCTATGAGTGGGTGGAGGAAGTGTCTTGATGTTGGGTTTCTACGCCAGATGTCAGGTCTTTCCAGCCTGCTGCTCCCCCTAGCCCGTATGTTATCTGAAATCGACGGGTGCTTCGATCAAAGGGGCAAAGTGGAATGGCTGATTGCTTTCATATTTTAGGTTAACCTTTAACCTATTACCTCTTATCGCCCGAGTGCACTAGAAATGAAATTCTTCCATGCCAGAAGATTGTCGACTCTTCTCTCCTCAAACAGCTGTGTCAATAATCCTGGAATCTCATACCAGGAGAATTTTTCATTCTTATCCTGAGCCTTCTCTTTAGCTGTCACGCCACTGCCAACATATAGCTATATCAATCTCCAAGATGGGGAATCATAACTGAAACTGGATCCGTCAACATTAGATATGATCCCACTGAAAATCAGTCTCGAAGAGATCTTCGAAAGATTCGAACCTTAACTAAATGTAGCATTTGGGTTTCCGAGTTCTCACTGTTCCATACTTGAAAACGTTTCGAGGCAATTTGTTCTCGTGTCACTGTCTCTCACATGGGATGTGCTTAAACTCGTCAACCAGATGAAAGACTCGTAATGAGATTAAATTTACCAAGTTCGGTTATTGCATGATTCTGGCTTCTGACTGGAAGGCAAATGCCTGGGAGGCAAATGATGGACTGTGTGCCAGGCTCTCCTTCGCTAATTTCTACCCCACTAATTTCTGATAAATATTTGCATAGCGTCGAGGTAAGACATACAGCACTCTGTATGCCATGTCTAGGGGGTTCGAATGCAGTACGCATTTAAAATCGTTATGACCAGTTATGACCAAGCCCAGACAACTCGTGAGCTCCTCTGGAAGTGACTGGAATAATTTATATCATGCAGAAATTGTAAGAAAAAAATCCTCATGGAAATTCTGCAATTATGTGTTCAAGAGAGGAAGTTATTGGAGAATCGGAAGAAACAGGTCTTTTCGAATAAATAGGGTCCACCCCACAGATTCCAAAAAAAGAAATAGTCAATATAGATGTCATCGTGTGGTCCCTTTTTTGAAAGGTATGATAGTAAGGCACGATAAGGCAGAAGGCATAAGGCACTATAGTACCCTATATTGATATGCTCCGTCTAAGGTTCGCGCTTGCAAGGAAGCAGACGAGCTCGCGCTCGCTATTGATGCAGGCATTAGATTTGTGCAAGAGTTAGAGACCTCGTCACTACAATGGAAAATATATTTCTTGAGTACAGAGTCGCAGATGGTGAAGAGGTCGTCAGAGCAAAATGCGCAGAGTCGCTTCCAGAATGCTTTGTCGTAATTGGAAATAAATATGCGCACATGCGGTGCGAGTCATAACACTTCATTCTCGAACACATCTCAATGTGATCCAGACCGTGCTTCAAATCGGGCATTCATTTGCTAGCTGCAGAAGGGAGAGAGAAAGAGAGAAACGAAAGATGAAGATATAAATTGAGAGGAGACAAAGGAACAATTTCTTTGTTTGTGACGTGTCCCAGCAAATACATCTTGAATCTCTTTTCTTTGTGTCATCCACAGAGGAGATGTGAATGACTCGTGCGAAGAGAGAATTTTCCTTCCATTACAGGGTTTCGTAGAAAACCGATTGCTGAGGAAGAAAAAAAATATCGTGTGGATTTTGATCGATGGGAACATAAATACAGGACTCCGTTGTGGCGTTACTAACGAGGTCTTGGCGTGAGTCCCACGATGAAATGAATCTCATAATTGCATGAGATGCTTATGTACCTCATTTTTCCTCTTTTGGACCGAAAAAGAGACCACGAGGCAAGCGTGAGAGAGACAGACAGAAAAAGAGAGAGAAAACCAGGAAAGATAAGCCGTTAGATTCTATGTAGTGCTTCATTGGCCTAAGTCCAACAGAAAAGGGAAAAGGAGACGGACGTGTCCTGGGATGGATCGGCCTTCTCTCCATCGAAAGAGAAAGCAATTTCCGGCCCAATTCATGGGTACGTGCTCCCTGGCCATAGACATGCACAGCTGGTTCTGTCTTCCTGTCCAGAAGAGTCATCGGGGACCGATTCCTGCAAGGACCGGAATACCGGAGGAAACGAGAGACAGGAAGTGACTGTCGAAACCTCTTCGTGAATGTGCAGTCTGTCATGAAAGACCGGAGATTCAATTATGGTTTCTCGATGATGCCGATAAAATAGGAACAAAGCCACTAGGAAGGACGGTTCCTGACAAAGACCTATAAATTAAGGGGACAAAGAAGTCTCATTATCGTTTGGTCTTCTTTTCTTGGAAAATGAAAGAATTCAAGCCGATCTAAAGAAAACGTCGCGGAGGGAAATTTAGTCTTTCATGGTCATAATTTTGGTGTTGTGAAAGGAAAAGTGCAGATGTGTATTTATGAGCCTCGCGGAAACTTATTTTGATAAATCAAAAGAAAGCAACAAAATAGTATGACATGAATGAAGTACAATAATAGAATCATGCATCCATGCGTTAGAGTTTTAATATCTCTTATGTTATTTATTGGATGCCAAAATTGTTACTGCGGAAAATTTTAAACCGTCGAGGGGAAAATGAAGAATCACTCGCGTAAGTTGTATTTTATCAAAGCGAAATGCTATCCTAGTCTGAATAGCTCGTTATGGGAAGAAGAAATGGGCACCATTTCTCAATTTCTTGATCAGTAGAGAATTTAAATGACGCTATGTTGCATACAGTGAATGTGGACCTCAGAAAAAAAAAATAATTTGGGGAGGTCTATTGGAGAATTTCAACTTTCCCATGGCCCTAATCGGCTCATCGAGACCCAGCAAAAAATATTAATCCCGGCTTAGGTTATGCGAGACGTGTTGACCAACAGGCCTAAGCCTATTGAACCTCCATGACAATCAATTGTAGTATTTCGCCGTTCAAAATTTGAGCATGATTTCATTCTTTCGATTCAACATGTCCTAATCAATAAGTCATCTCCAAGAGCGGGATTGCATGGTTTCGGCATTTTTATTTATTTATTTTGAGTTTGTCCCAATCACCCAAGACTGCTTTGTTCCCGTTGAGTGAAACCATAGCATTTATGCCTTTTCTTTCTTTGAGGATTTTGTGCCTCTTATTTGCTTTGCTCTGTGCCTCGTCAAGAATTCTTCCTCGCAAAGGATTAACGTCCTATCCCATCACATCATCACGATCTCCGTGCTAATCCGAGTGCACAGAAAGCCACAAAGAATATTCGCCTTAAGAGATATATTAATAATACTGTATATATGGATAGATTCGCATTTCAGCTATTCGGCAGAGGCATTTTCCCTATTTCATTGAGCTTAGATGCTTATTCTCCGTGATGATTGAAACAAATTCCCCATTCAAAATCTCAGACTGCATTTTCCCTCTGAAAACAGCTAACAAACGCAGTAATCCAGCCGGAAACTCTGAAGAATTCTGATGAAGGATTCGGACGGGCAGACGGAGATTTGAACTATCCGGAATCTCGTTATTTTCAACCGCTGACTGAAGGGAGAATGAGCTAGATGCGATTCACGGTCGTGCAATCGACGTGCTATCTATATTCTGACTTACCACTGTAACCTAGAAACATGAATCATTGAGGAGAATAAATGCACCACACAGGATGGATATAGTGACTTGAATGGCATGACAGAGGAGTGGTCAAAGTTTTCACTCTCAGATGGCGGAGCGATTCACGATCGATGCTCCCCTGTCGGCTGTCTTGGTCTACTACGTCATTACACTTGCTTCAAGCTCTCGTCAAATGTCATTCCGAATGTTTTCCCGCACCGATCCGTATCCAATGAGGATTGTAAAGTGTTCGATTGGAAGAAATCCGATGTACATATCAACATTTCCTATCCGAAGTGCATCCGATGCCCACTTTTTAAAAATATTAATTTGCTTGTCTGAATTCTCTCCGATCCACAGTTAGGTTACTCATAATTATAAGTTACGGTGCAGTTATTCTACACCTATCATAACGGTACAACTGACAACGCATTAAGATGCACCCAATCACGATACATGCTTCACGAAATCTTCATATTCCATTCATTGATTCTCGTTATCGCTGATCACTTCTAACCGCTAATCAAAATACGAAGACCATCACAAAATTACTAAGACTTTCTATTAGGAAATGAGTATGAAATAGCCAGCTACTAATATCTTGTACTTATCTTCCCTGATGCAGTCATCTTCCATACGTATGCACTTCAGTCAGCGTCCCATCAATTACTCCAGTCCTTGGACGAGCATTTCCTTTGATGCGACATTATCTCACTGCGTGCCAAGAAAGGCCAATGCAGGCAAGTCGATGTGCCTGCCAGGGAAGGGAATCTTCGTCACAAGGAACAATATCTAAATAATGAGCTGGCTAGCAAAAAAATTGTGAAAATTCCTTCTGTTGCGTAACAGCGTGTGTGCGGGCGAGCTTTGTCCTGCTGAAAGAGAACTTCCCGTGACCACTTTCTACTGCTGTCCTCGCTGCTTTTTTGTTTTTTCAATCATTTCCATGTAGATCTGTGATGGAGTGTTGATCCGTTTAACGTATGAGGATGACGGAGTGCCGCCCGATTCAAAGAAACCATGAAGGATGGCCATGGTAACTGAGCACATGAAGCATGACAGCGCTCGCCCACGCGTCAGTCATCAGATGAAAACTGCCATTCAAGATCTTGGCAACAAATTTCTGCCGCATCAGGCTCATTCGTCAGATCTTTCTCCAAAGTGATTCTTGGCTACATCGTACATTGAAGATTCCCTCCGCTGCAAGCAATAGCCTCTGCTCCCACCCACAGGCTCAAAGGAAAGTTTGCTAAGTACTGGCAGAAGTTGAGAAGGACGCAACAAGAAGATGGACACGGAATAAAAGTTTCCAATATATACTGATTAATTAATGATAAAAGTCGAAGATCTTTTGGGATGATTCCCGTACAATCGTCTCTAAATTTCAAGGCCTCGAATTCGACACCACGACAAAGTTTGTCACTCTGAAAGCCTGAAACCCAGCATATGCATTCAGAAATAGCTACAAGTGCAACTGGAAACGATTGAGGGAAGACTTTTCAACTCAGAAATAGACTGATAAACTTTCTAATAGACTTTCTGCTTTTCCCATATATATTTTTTTCTGTTTTATTTTTTATTTTTATTTTTAAAAGCATAGCAGCTAAAATAAGAAAGGGACTGGTGGGATGCATATTTGTATTCCATCTTTTCCATCTGAAATAGTAGACTCTGATCCGAACCATGAATTATCGGAATTCGAACCGAGCTCTGGTTCCCGTCAATCTCCAAGGACAACAGAGTAAATGCGCAACGACGAGGCTGGACTTTCAAAACAAGTGGCAAAGGATTTTCTTTTGCCATGAAATAGATTTTTAATGAGTAAATATCTTATTTGTTTGTGTGAAAATCTAGTAACAGAGAAAGTTCTTTGCTTCAGCCGAAAGCACCCCGTAAGGGCAAATATTTAGGAGACAAAGAATTGGCTTGCTCTTGTATT